CATCATCATCATCATCATCATCATCATAGTGTCCGTGTTGAAGTTTAGCCGCCTTGTACCCCGTTCGTAATGTATCCATGGATGTTCTAATAGAATCGGCTGACTCGAGAAACAATGATCCCAAAGAATGAAAGATACTATAGTAGTCATCTGAGAGTTCCAAACACTTCGATAATCAGGAACGTTTCAGTGGAGCTTTGAAATTAAAGCAACTTTCAAGTGCAAATTCGCTTCAAGAGGTTTCTTTGTTGAAATCCTGTTGCCTCTGTGAGTGACTTGGTTCATCGCGTGCAGTCATAGGTGACCTGCCTTTTGTCAATACGAATGAATCTGGAAGATACTGATGTTAATTTTAAACCGGTTCATAGAGGATGATCACCAGCACAACAAATCGGGTAGGTACTTCTGGGGGTGGCAACAGAATGATAGACATATTGTTTCCAAGCAGAGCAAAGGTTTAAGGGTGAAAATCTAGATGACGAAAACAGATGATCATGCCTGTTCATAGAAGAGATCTGATTTGAGAGTTGTAACATCGACAATGCTTGATGAAGAGTATCGAAACCACCGTAGATGGAAAATCGATCTCCTGGAGTAAAAAAAAATTCCAACTTAGTTGCAGACTTGGCTATGAAGGTTTGTGTCTGATGCAGGTAGACTGATATATAGGGAAAGACAAGTGTCAGCCACAGGCTATTTTTGGGAGTGGAGTAAGCAGCCGTAGAGGGTTGAACAACCTTGGATTGCCCTTAGGACTTCCTTAGTTCCTGGAGGTGATGGATTGTAGCGTTTTCAATCACATTGCAAGCTTAAAGAAGTGGTAGGCTCTAAATGTGCATCAGATCTCCATGTCCTAGAGACTATTTACATAGTCTACACATGGCATGACTAGCGTGGCTCTGCGTGGAGGTCGATCCCGTGAGCCACCTGAGGCGCATGCAATGTACGGTGCAAGTAACTACGCCGCCTGAAACGTAGCAAACGTGTTTTGTATTTTATACTCATGTATACTTGGACAATCAGATTTAGTAAGAATTGAGTTTAAGAGGCAGTGCATTCCATCTAGTCGTGTTTATACTGTCTAGTAGATAGATTGGATGGCGAAAATTGCACGTCGGAAGCCTTCAATACAAGTATATCCACTTGATCTGAGGATCTCCCAAAGACCAGGCGTTCCTGTAAAGTGAAATTGGAATGTATTGTACAACATATACGATATAATATACGCAGATCCCCGGGGTGACATCATTTTGCCCATACGCCCTGCACGACAAACACCATGGTAATACTGGGTTGAAAAGACATGATCTCATACTGGTTGTAAGGCTTATCAAGATGTAAAACATACCAGGTTTCTGTACACACCTAAATGAATTGTTAGTGAATTGTGAGGCAACGTGTGCTCTTGCAGAGATGGTCAGCCGCAGAAAGTGCCCCACGAGCCAGCCACAAAGTGTTAGTGGTCTGCACAGCCTCAATCACAAAAAGGTATCGGGTACTTGTGAGTACACATGTCTATAGTGCAAAATCAAGTACTCAGTACTTTACTGCCTCAGGGTTCATTTCTCCAGAGCCTCGACTCTCCAGTCCCCACCAAACATATCATCCCCTGCCCGATTTCTGTTCATTCGTTCACTCTCTTTGTGCTTTCTTTTTTTTTTCTTTGCCTTCGAATCTTGTACGGTAAAAGCTGGAAATGGGATGAGACTCGTTCATCACTATCCACTTTCCTCTATTTAACACTCAGATTGCTCCATCTTTTTGCATTTTGTTCCGCTCAACCGTTCCAAACTTCAGATGGCCATTGACTCTCATCCACTCATTCCCCGATCGCGATTTTAAAGGCCTAAGCCCCTGGGATTATTCCGGTGGATCTTGACAAGTTTGAAGCTGAAACTACTCGTCAGCTTGCGCCACACTCGTGAGAAACGCCCCACACGTCCTGGTCTTCGCTCTCTTTCCCCCCCAACCTCGTCTGCTTGACATCTTTGATATATCCCGGTGGATGAAAGTGAGTCAAGTTCCTTTCCCCCACCAATCCTCCTTACCCTATCCTAACATGGCATCTACAGTCGCTGTCGCCTTTGCTCGTCCACCCTTTGAGGCTGGCGCGAAACCTTCTTTCTCCATGGCGACGTTGATGTCGAACAACGAGCCCATCGCCGCCTCCAACTCGTTATCTGGAAACTCCATCACTAGCTCTGAACCCCTCTCTTTGTTTAAATCCTCCAAACCCGAGAGCCTGAGTTCGATTGCCAGCGCCGGCCTACACGTCTCGCGATCGAGAGATCAACTTCCTCCGATGACAAGTCCAACACCAGCACCGGCGGATCGGCCGGAGAATGAGAAAGAAGCTGAACGAAACAGTTCGCAGGTGGCCCGAGAGGCTCTGGGTGCAAGCGAAAAGTCGCCAGGTGCCCCGATTCATGAGCCTTCAGTTCATGCATCCCCGGAGCAAATGCAAATCGACTCTCACGCGACCGGATCGCCATCGGACCCTTATGGATCAAACGATCATCACCACAACTCTCTTATGCATACCTCGACTGTAGCCAGCCCTGGTCCCATTGAGGAATCTGCTTCTCAGGACGGGGATCGGCGGTCGCGCGATGACTCCGAGATCGACCACGATGGCAAATCATTCTCATACCCGATGCCTACGGGCAATCTTAACGACCCACGTCGTGGCCTGAGCCTACCGACCGCAGGCTACAATAGAGGCAGCCCTCGCTCTCCATCAGCGAAGAAACATCGCTGCCCATACTGCGCGACAGAATTTACGCGGCAACACAATCTCAAGAGCCATTTGCTCACCCACAGTCAGGAAAAGCCTTTCGTTTGTCAAACCTGCCAGTCACGTTTCCGAAGACTTCACGATTTGAAGCGTCACTCAAAGCTGCATACCGGCGAGCGACCACACATCTGTCCTAAATGTGGACGTCGTTTTGCGCGAGGTGATGCGCTTGCTCGACACAATAAAGGACAGGGAGGCTGCGCGGGTCGACGCGCGAGTATGGGCAGCTTTGCGGCAGACGACGAGTATGTTGATGGCGCAACCGGTGGACACGACGACATGGATGGGTTGATGTACACAGCAGAGCCTGAGCGCATGGATGAAGAAGACGAGCGACGAATGACCATGCCGAGCATCCGCAAGCACGAGGCAGAAACCGTTGCTCGGTCTGATTCAATTCACTCGCGCCAGTCAAATACCTACCCGCCAATTGCCGCCGGCCGTCCCAGCCACCTTTTCCCACCACCAGCCAACCATGGTGGATCAAGCGTGTCAACATCAACTTCGCCGTCTACACACATGACTTTCCCGCCCGCGGGACTCACCTCGAGCTCGTCCATCTTCCCTTCTAACAGTATTAGTGACAGCCCTAAACCGCTTTCCCCCAACGCTCTTTCCTCGCAACATGACAGTGCACCGCCACATCGCGCACATTCTCCCGGTATGGGACAGTCCTTGCCACACCCGCAGTCCTCTTTTGGGCGAGCGGTTCAATCCTCAAACCATGCACCACCTACGTTAGGCTTGCCTCTGCCGCAGCCAGGCGCGCCCCAGCTGCCTCCGCCGCCGGGCATGGCCTCCCCGGATGCTCGATTTGGGATGCAGGCCGGAACCAAACACACTCCTTCGCACAGCCACTCCAGTTCTCACAGTCTATCTCACCTCAAGGGATTCGATGGGCCGGATGCCAATTCCAGTGACGCTAGCCAAATTGACAAGCTTTGGGCATACGTGCGGACAATGCATGATGAGTTGGCAGGCTTACGCACTGAAGTTGCCGCCTTGCGGGCGCACGTTGCTTCGTCCAACTCAGTGCCCCCGGCTCCGGTGGAACTAAACCTCAACAATGCCGGACCGCGGTAATCCATTCGTGGGTGTGGTTCCAATGTGTACGATATGGCGTACCGTCAGCCACGTGAACTGGCTGTTACGCTCTCCCCTCCTTCACTTTGTTCATACGTCTTGATTATCCCATCCTCTCTCGGGGGTCAAACTTGATGCCCTCATGATCACCATACCGACAGTCGCCGGCGTCGGTGTTTTCGATGCCCCATTGCTCTTTTTCCTTTCTTTTTTCCCCTTTACTTCCCGGAATCATATCACCCGGGAGAGCCTTTCCGTTCTAGCCTACTTTATTCATACCTGGAGTGCGCTACAGAGCGTGCCTATTTTTTCCTCGCTTCCTTTTTGAATAGCCGAAGGAGTTTGGCGTGTCATACAAAAATGGTCTGACATCACGATGGAATGGAGAACATCATTTCTCACCGAACCGCGGCCTGGACCCCCCTGTTTCCTGGTGTCAATTCTATGTGAAAGATGGAGTCATGTGATTGTGTTTGGATATGTGCATGGATTACGCTGGATTTGGAGTTTTTATTCGTAATCTGCTATTCCCAACTTAGTGATAATATACTCTTCCATCTTTACGATATGCACTGTAGTCTTTCTCAATTCCCTTTTTTTTTCCCTTGAACTTTTATAGCCTCATCATCGAGATGTTGCCGCAACACAGGAGCAAACTAAAGGCACTTACACTTGGTGAGGATTAGCCCTAGACTGAGCGACGTCTGCCCTATGTTGTAGGAGTTATAAATACATGGTTTGCCAGATTAGGCAAGAACTAGTGTGTTTATAGCTCTCAAACAGACCGAGCTTCAGATCGATTTCACCAACTCATTCTTCAAAGGTCGTCATGCGATGTTGCATTGGAAACGTACTTGGTCAATAAATAGGAAGAAAGCTAGACTTTAGAATACTATGTGTACTTTGCTCCAAAAATTTCTAGCAATAACTGGTAGTACTCAAATTGTTGCTCGTCTACATTTTCGGACAACCCTAGGCGGCAATGGGCTCCATTCTACCTCTCTTCCCTTACCTTCATATTCTAATTATCAAGACTTGAATTTTGGTTGAAAGTTGGTTTTGATGAAGTGGTATATATAAAGTATGGAGAACCCCGTAGAACAACATATATTAGCTGTGGTGAATGTCCCCACCCCATTGCGCCACAAGGGGCATCTTCACACCCTAACCATGCAACTGAGCCGAGGCACTTGAAATACAAGTCATGTACTCCACAACCAATACTTTACACACATCTCGAATCGAAAACCCTTCGAAAGCCCTCGGAACTTTCTATCCTTTCGCGCGTTGTAATTTGGACCATGTCCTTCACACTCTTGCAGGCATCAGCTGCAGCCTTTGCGTTGCTTTCTGTTGGACACACGGTAGTATCCCCAATCCCAGAAGCCCCTGAATCAACACGTTGATTGTGGCGTAGATTAAAGGCAGGCAATGGACAGCCGACACAAGATTCAAAGCTATCGCAGGCACTACTTCGTGGACCTGTGGGACTCTGGGGTGGTACCAGGTGCGTTGAAGTTTTCGACAGCAATCACGCCTATCTTGCTGTTAGACTGACAATTCTATTCGATTTCTATCGACAGGGGAGTGGCTTTTTTTTGTTGACTGGTGCGCTCACAGTGTTATCCTTCATTGTCAAGCTCTAATCATGATCAACAGGTCTGCTCCACTGGCAATGGTCGCGAGATCCTAGTCTCCTCCAAGATCCACTGAACAAAGCAATGGCCGGGATCGTGAACATTCTGCTATGGGCTAGCTCTGCCTGGTACAGTAAGTATGGTATCAATGATACTGCTGTTGTCATTGCTATCTCTGCTGCGTTGCAGGCTTTCGGTGTCGGAAAGGCTTGCCTGTGAAACAATCACCCAGGACACATGCTTGAAAGACACATGTACAGTATGATCCGATGAGCTCGAGTAAAGTAAGAAGATTTAATCCTGCTGTTGTACATTTTTGGATTTCGATTTTTGGAGGTTTTTTGTCTGTTGATCATAACCCTGAGCCGTTGAACTCATCCGAGATGACACAGTAGAGTGTAGACCGACAAAGACATTTAGCCCTCCCCCATCTGAGAATCTTGCTCCAACCTCCTCTCTTCCCTCCGCTTGATGGTCCACCGAATAAACAATCCCACATCAGAAACAACAGCCCGCGGCACTCCACCCAGCGTCCAGCTTCGCTGAACCCACTGAGGAATCTTCCCACCAGCATCAGAAGTCGTCAACATAGTCCAGCGAAGATAACGCCCAGGGTTCGTAGCAGGGGTGTTCGAATCCGCGGAAGCCGACGGACCCGAAGCTGGCGGGGCAGGAGCTAGCACGCGCTCAACCCGCTCGAGACTGGCATAGTAAGCAAAGACTGCACGCTGCGGGACAGCATCCATGATCTGTGCGTAGAGTCCCTCGTACTGGGATCCTGGGATGATTGGTTTAGTCAAGTAGAAAGGAATCTGTACAGTCATAAAGCCGTGGCCTGGGTTTGTTTGGGACACTGGGCAGGCGCTGGCGAAGGTTGTCGACATAGTCCATGATATGAAGGCCCGCGGCCGGATTAGCGCCTGTGGATGGAAGGTATGGACAATGAGATTGACTGGCTTGAGTTTCAGTGGGCTGTCTCCTTGTGTGTTTGAGCAATGTTCTAGGCAATTTTTCATACATACGTTCGACTTCGAAATGCTTGTAGGTCATGTTTCCAATAGCTATTGGTTGGTTGAGATCCCATTGTCGAGGCTCGTTCCATTTCAGCAGTTGCTTTACGCTCGTCACGCTGGGTGTGTACTCCATCTCGTGCTCAGCATGCCTGTAGCGCAATCCGTCGTGGAATTCCCATAGGGAAACTGTCCCAGGTAGACGATCAGAGTCTTGGTGGTCGCTTTGGCGACATACCCAGAACTCCTTTTTGGGAGCTGGGCCCTCTTGGGGGGGTTGGAGTGTTCGCCATCCCCGCGAAAGTTTCACCTTTGCATGTGAAGGTGAAGAAGAGCGCAGCTTGCAATCTGGTTTTAATGTTGACGGGAACTGGTTGAGAAGAGGGTGGGCTTCAAGAAGGATGGCCTGGATGAACTCCCGCAGATCTGGGGTGTTGTCGTCCCCTTGAAGATCTGGGTGTCGAGGGAGGCTGGTGAACAGATGTGGCTCGAGTTGTATGAGCGGCATGATAGAGAGAGATGGAAGGAAGAGGGCTTGGCGATAGAGAAAGTAGACAGGTGAAGAGAGGTGGAGGGTTAAAAAGAAAATGCCAGAGGTCAGAAAGCATAATAAATTGCTGATGGAGATTTTGTCTTATTTGTTTGCATAGGTCTACCTGAGTTGTTAAGAGAGAATTTGAAGGTTGCCAGGGTTTAATGAACACAGCTATATCTTTTTTTGGTCGACCCGATCACTTTTTCATCTATCAAATAAGCATATGATTGATCCTATAGATCAATTTAGGGCAACACGTTGGGCAAACGGTATCAAAACTATAGACAGCGGATCCCAGGTCCGACGCTGCCAGTCTCAAAAATCTCCACAAGTCCCGCGCCTAGTGCTTCTTCTAGCACCCATCGAAAATGCATCCCATACAGCTCTTTCCATTTCCTAGTCTTACCAGGCAGAATCCCGGCAAACTCGCCACGGGCTCGCTTCGCTACATGGAAACTCTTATCGGTCTCAATAGCTCCATCCCATCGATCTTTCAACAGACTCAGAGGGGCTTCACCAGAAGCGGACCGCCGGAGAAGAGCGAGTAGATGTGCACGACCCGATCCCAACAAGCGGAGATATGTTCCAGTGTTAGGAAGAGACAAAAACAGAGTTGCCGCACGAGCCTGAGCGGCTGACTGCACGGGTCGCTCAGAGTGCGAGATAGACTCGCTTCGACTTGCTGATGAAGTCGCCATTTGAGGTAGATTTGGAAGTGATGCAATACTTAATGTGCCCTGTGTATAAGATGACGAGGAGACAATAAAACCGGCGCGGAGCAAGGCCCTGTACTCATCCGTCGTGAAGACCCCCTGCGATATCGCCAAGGAGGTCCCAATGCGCTTCAAAATATCAAGGAATTTCTCTGCAAACCAGTCAGTTCATGACACTTGAAAGATTCTGACACCAAAATTCACCCTTGAGTGGTTGTTCCAATGCAGGGCTTTCCTGCACCAGCTTGTCCCAATCCTCTGCTAGCACCAAACAGTCGCCTAGCCCGGCCGCATCATTGCCTCGACCCGGTATAATGAGTCGCCGAATCCGACCTGTCTGTATCTGTTCGACGATCTCCCTTTCCACCTGTGTTGGTGCCTCCAGAAGGGTATGGATATGGGCCACAGAAGCGAGTGGAGGCAAAGATCGGCGCAGATTGAGAACTTCTGCGATGCGCGTGCTGTTCATCCCGGCCCGTATCGGAAGTTCTTCGAACATGCCATCACGGATGTATTGAATAGCCTGCAGGACATTCTGCGCCGGTGCTGTCTCTGCTATGAAATGAGATCCGCCTACATCTGGAAGCGGATCATCAAAGCCTGGATCTGCAGTCGGTTTTAGGCCAGTCGGATTGAGGCCGCCAGATGTAAGTTTGCGGCGTACGTGGGCAGCAAAAGGCGAGGGGCGGGGTTTGGGAGCAGAGGCTTTGCGTTTCTTGACACCTGATACCGGAGCGGATGTGAGACGCAGGGTCATGGCAAGGTCATGGTCGATGAACTTCCCGACGTTACGGATTCGGGGAGAAATATTACCTCATGTCAGGTGACAGACAGATATTCCACCAATCAAAGTCTGTTATAGCTCTGTACATAAATTACCGGTACGGGGAACACCCTGACCCTCAAAGTGGCTCAAGTGGGGTCAAACCGGTACGAGGCAGTACAACATAAACTCACGTCAGGCGATGGATCAGTTGGGTTTCCGTGGTTCTACAATATCACTTTTGGTTTGCAAGAACATTCCAAGTTATCTTCAAGTCTATTCTGAATGCAGCATCTAGTCCTATCTGTTTGGTCTTATTTGTCCTAGCAATCCACAGGCAAACGTGCTTCTCCATCACTTGGCACCTTCACATGACGTAGTCATGAGAAACACATCGTGTAACTAACCTTTTTTTTTTCTCATCTTGTCCCCGATTGTTAAGACTCCAGTCGCTAATTTACTCGTCGCATCGTCAAAGCTACATCTTTTCTCTCACACTGTGCTTTTACATTCCACTGCCTATCCGCTTAGGCTGGGCTCAATCACGATGACTGTCTTCATCGCATCTCTGTATGTGGCTATTACTGGATGGTTTACATATTGGCTAACTGTTGAATTTCTCATGTAGATTTTTACCCCACACCGTCAATTTTCATATCAACAACCCGCGCGCTTGTTCTCCCCCTCTAAGTTCTCCGCCCGCAAACCCCACCACTGAGGGCATCACACCCATTCCCAATTCTACAGCTAGCCTGTTCGAAAAGAAATCTCCAAGGAAAACGACGAGTCTTACACCAGGGGCTACAACGGATCATGAGCGCATCTTTGATGCCCAGATAGCCAAGGCAGAGCAAGAGAAAGATGGATACCCGTTCCCTTTGGCCCCCGAGCAGGATAACCGGCTCCTCACGGAGAGTGAGGGTCATTCCCCGATATGGGGTGCCACAACCTCACTCAATCAACCAAAGCCAGTAGCGGTCTTGTCGCCGTCTCCATCTATTCTCAAGCACCAAGATCTTCGCCCCGCCAAGGAAGTTGTCCCGCATCGACCTCCTGCGGCCGAGACCATTGCTACCCATGCGAGACTAAGAAAGGCCAGCACAGCGAGCCGGAAATTGTCATTTTCGAAAGCTGAATGGACCATCGAGACCGCGGAGCAGGGAAATGGTGGCCTGCGCAATGCAGTGCGATCCGCAACAGACGCTGGGGGATTGGACAACATGATGTGGGTGGGCACCTTGGGTATGCCTACTGACGCCTTGGCAAATCACACTCGGTGTGACATCGCCGAGAAATTGGAAAATGAGCATGGGTCTTTAACCGTGTTTGTCAATGACGGCGACTTCGACGGGCACTACACGCATTTTTGCAAGACCATCCTTTGGCCGGTATTTCATTATCAGATCCCAGATAACCCCAAGAGCAAAGCCTACGAGGACCATTCATGGATCTACTATGTCAAGTTGAACCAGGCTTTTGCAGAGCGCATTGCTAAGCATTGGAAGCGGGGTGATTCGATCTGGGTCCAGGATTATCATTTGTTACTGGTTCCAGATATGCTTCGCAAGTTGGTGCCAGATGCACAAATTGGGTTTTTCTTGCACATTGCTTTCCCCTCGTCTGAGGTCTTCAAGTGCTTGGCACCACGCAAGGAGCTCCTCCAGGGCATTCTTGGTGCCAACCTTGTTGGTTTCCAGACGGATGAATACTGCCGACACTTTCTGCAGACATGCAGTCGGATCTTGTGTGTGGAAGCAACACCCGAAGGAATCCAATTGGAAGACCGTTTTGTCAACGTCGGCACATTCCCCATCGGCATCGACCCAACTTCATGGGATAAGCGCCGCAAGGCAACGGACGTGGAGCGATGGGTCGGTACAATCTCAGAGCGCTACCAAGGAAAGCGTCTCATCGTCTCACGGGATAAAATTGATTCCGTTCGGGGGATTCGCCAAAAACTTCTTAGCTATGAGCTTTTCCTCAATACCTACCCAGAATGGGCTGATAAGGTTGTGTTAATTCAAGTCGCAACCAGCACCACGGAACAACCAGAGCTGGAAGCGACTATCTCTGACATCGCCATGCGGATCAACTCCACCCACTCGACCCTCGCTCATCAGCCCTTGGTGTTCCTCAAGCAAGACTTGGCCTTCCCGCAGTACCTCGCTCTAATCACTGTGGCAGATGCCCTGATGATCACCAGCCTACGCGAGGGAATGAATCTGACGAGTCACGAGTTTGTCTACTGCCAAGATGGTCGCTGCGGCGACAAAGCCTATGGGTCGTTGATTCTTAGCGAGTTCACTGGCAGTGCGTCTGTCTTCGGAAACCTTGCTCTTTTGGTCAACCCTTGGGATTACCGCCAGTGTTGCGAAGCAATTCACACAGCACTGACTCGCGAAGAAAAGGAACGGAAGCAGGTTTGGGAGGGACTCCTCTGTGCAGTCCTGAAGAACTCGACTGCCAACTGGGTGAAATCGTTCAGTGAAACTCTCAGTCGAGTCTGGAACGAGCAATCTTCGCGAGAAATCATGGCAGTGCCCCGCCTGTCCGTATCCCGACTCATCGAGCAGTATCGCCAATCTAAGCAACGGCTCATGATCATCGATTACGAAGACACTCTAGCCTCATGGGGATCACCGCGCAGCATCATTCTGACCACGCCGCAGCGCGCAATCATTACCCTCAACGACTTGACCGAAGACCCCGCCAACGTTGTTTACGTCATGAGCGCTCGCATGCCAGAGGAAATGGAAAGGCTCTTCCGACAAGTCAACAATCTGGGCCTGATTGCCGAGAACGGGTGCTTTGTGCGTGAGCCGAACGCCGATTCCTGGACACACCTTGCAGACAAGCTGCATGTCAAAGCGTGGAAGGCATCTGTGTCTAATATCCTGGAATATTTCCACGCTCGAGTCGAGGGTAGCTGGATTGAGGAGCGTCATTGCTCGCTCGTCTTCCACCACGGATCCGCAGAAGACCGTCAAGCTGCCGCTCGATCTGCTGCTGAATGTGCAGGCAATGTCAACGATGCATGTGCTAACCAGGATGTGCATGCGATCCCCGTCGAGGGTGCTTTGATCGTGGAGACCACTCACACCAACAAGGCGTCTGCGGCTGAACTGGTCTGGAAATGGTTCATGGAAAACGCCGATCAAAACGAGAATGTCATCAGGCCTGATTTCTTACTGGTCATCGGTGATAACCGTGAGGATGAACCGGTGTTCCGGTGGGCTAATAAGCTGCATAGCGCGAAGGCCGTCGACTATGCCATGACTGTCACATTGGGCTCGCGTAGTACGGAGGCTAAGGCCACGCTGACACAGGGAGTTACTGGTAAGTTGGAGAACATAGACCACCTTCTATTTTAGGTCAGTTGACTAATTTCCTACAGGCGTCCTTTCTTGTCTGCAACAATTGGCAGCACACCAGGGCCAACCTAAATTGCCACTGCGAGAATGATCTAGTGAGCAACTTGATTTCCATCATGGATTTCCCGGATATGAACATGCGAAGACGAATACACGAATTTAGCAAAAAGGACCGGAGTTTTCAAATTTTTCTTTTTCTTTAGCAAATATGATTTTGTGCTGGCATACATCTATTGCGGCACATTTTGATCCAGTTGAGATGTTACATACATGAAGACTTCTACAGGAAGGGCATTTGCATTGGTATCTTCTCACAATTTCGGGTAAAAAAGTTAGAAAAGCCAAAAAAATTAAAGACGTTCGATATCAGGAAATTTTCCTGGCAGTTCCTTATGAGCAGCCAAATCTCAGTCATTTTACTAGTCCTCTTAATAATCTCATTATAAGAGACGCCATGGGCCAACACCTTGAAACATTCGAAGTCGGATGTAAAGCATCTAAGAATCCATGTCAACCAAACCAGCTATCACCGCTAGGCCACGGTTGGGTTAGATGGGGGCAACTTTGTTACCACGTCAAAATCACCTCTACCCCTTCCCTATCTTCGGCTGCCGTCAGGACTGGGAGAATTTCCTTGGAAGTCCTGAATTTGTGAGGGAAGTGCCAACCTCCTTAGTAAGGATCTTCAAGTAGATGAGGTCAAGTAAGCGCTCGTTGAGAATCCTTCAATTCATTGATCGCCTTTTCATCGGTCGACCACCTTGCAGATCTATCGCTTGTGTTGGTTGAACTTTGGGGCGGGTGGTGTTCTTGTCGACTATCAGGATGATGTCGAGGTAGAGTTTGGCTTCAAACCAGCTAGAGGACATGTCTGCGGCTTGCCGTCCAAAGGCCATACATAAGCGGGTAGACACGCACCCATTGAAGAAGACTAGAGAAGAAGATCTGCCTCGAACTTTTGGGTGCAAAGGTCATAGGTGTAAGGCGTATGAGAGTTCATTTGCATTGCTTCTCCTACTCTCCACCATCATGACTAGAACAGCCACGGGTAGTGCGTGGGTATCCGATTGGTTACGTTGTAGCTTTGTGTTCCCACGATGTTGTCAAATCCTTGGCGTTCTTCTATCGAGATTCGGGTACTTGGACGGCGTTCCAAAGTTGTCATCGCTCCCAAAAAGGGTGAGGTGCTAGGTGGCTAGGATGTATCTCTGACTGAGTGCTGTGAATTCTCAGCTCTAGAAATCATTGAAATGAAGAGGAAATAAATGAAGTGAGAAGTGAGTTTCTGGTGAAGGTTTCTGTCTTGCATTGCTTTCCTCGAGGAATGGTCCCGCTCTGCCCAGATAGGCAGGTATCAAAATGCGGGTAGGGCTTTATTGTTTTGGCATTTGTTAAATGTGAAGGGGAAATGAAAGTGAATGCGACTATTGAGGAAACAATACACGTTGCATTTTCCACAATCTCAAAGGTCTATGATGATGGGTGTTCCTTTCGCCACCCGGGCTTGGAAATTTGGGATCAACATAGCCAAAGATCGTACACTTTCTCTGTCAGTGATCTAAAATTATGGCCTTGGAAAATTGCGTTCAAGTGCACTACCTGTGTGGTGGTGATTCATCTGTTCGGCCTTCAGATTCGCTGTAGAACACGGCCGGATGTTTTATATGAAGGTAATAGCAACCAAGGTGCCAATAGTGCAATCTACTGCGTACCTCGTTTTTGCATTCTGGATCTCATGTGAAAAGGGTAGCCCAGGCCCCTTTACGCGAGCTACCATGCTGCACCAAGTTATGTCGCGTAGCGAAATTCATGGACATCGTTGGATCGTTTCCTGATCGGATCAATCGTCAAATCTAATCTATATCACAGAGATCTTCTCACTTCGATCTCATTTTGGTCGAACGGCCCTCTTGCATCACAAATCGGTCGGAGTATAAATGGCATATTATACTTCTGACTTCCAAGTCCATGGAATCTTGCCAATACCCACCTGCGCAGGCTAGTGAGCTGACTCAGCCTTTCGGTCGTCTGGGGAACAAGCCGAGGTTCGCCGATTCTGGGAAAAGGGTTCTATATCAACCGTATAGATCTTACTTAGCCCTTTAGACCCTGACCTTTCGATCCTGTACATTTCAAACACCAAAGTCATGTCCACCGTGAACCCGTCCTTTCAGGAGGCCATCAAGGTCACCCCACAAGGTCCCAACAAATACAGCGCCTTCCTCCGACCAGAATGGTGCATTGGAACCGGTATAGCAGAGCCCATGTAAACCTCACCCGCACTGACCGGAAGCTAACACCCCGCAAGTCCCACACGGAGGCTACACAACAGCCGTAATCTACCAACTAACTCTAACGCACTTCGCATACGCCCACCCAAAGCAACACAAATGCGCCGCGTCCCCAATCTCAATTCAACTGTCCTTCCTGCGACGCACTGCCTCAGGTCCCGCAACTTTCGAAGTTGAAGACGTCAAGATTGGCGCCCGCACAAGCACAATCCACGTCAAGCTATTCCAAGCCTCGGAAAAGAAACCTGGCCAGTTGGACATCATGGTCGCTGGCTATGTCACCGTCAGCCCATCGGAGGCCGAGGTCGGCATTAGCGCAAACACAGGGTGGAAGCCTCACCCAGCTCCGGTGGCGGGGTCGCGAGCGGACGGGTCCGTTGATCTGACGGCGCTGGGTCGAACAGGCACAGACGGCGCTTGGAGGAAGCTCGAGGCGCCTTTTACGGCGTTCCGTAAGGCTGCGGCGCAGATCGAGCTGTTTGGTCCTGGTGATGTTGAGACGCAGCAGAAGCGCTCTGAGAACATGCTGATCGATCAGTGGGCTAGGTTCCGCCCGGGGGGTGATGTGAGCGGGCGCTGGACGGAGGCTGCGGTAGCGTATCTTATCGATATGTTTCCCATGATGTTGGATGGGTTCGATGCTATGTCTGCCACTGCTACGGCGAAGGAGCGTGGGACTTCGCTTGCCGAAGAGAAGGCAAAGTTTTGGTATCCCACTGTTACGCTCAATGTGGATATTAAGAAGCACCTTCCTGCCGAGGGAGTCGAGTGGCTTTATAGTCGGATCGAGACTAAGGTTGTTAGGGATGGGCGTACGGATATAGAGGTTACGGTTCTTGATGAGGATGGGGAAGTTATCGCAATAGGTACGCAGATTGGGTTGGTTGTTGGTGCTAGTCGGAACGTCGGAACTAGGAAGGTAGGGAAGTTGTAGATAGTTGTCTCTCATGTATATATATATATATATGTGTTCAACTAGATTTTGAGGCTAAGGTTCTGATTTATGTATAATCTAGCTAGTTAAAACTATCGAAACCCCAAGGTAGCACCATGATTACGACTTTGGCACAGCCCACAAAACCAAGTCCATTCTTCCAGTCTATGTGCTTCAACAGGTCAAACGGCGGGGCTGGGGTCTTATGAGATGGCCCCAAGAAGATGAGCCGCTTGGTGCGAAACTAGCGGATCTTCACAATCTTAATGGATTTGACGTTGCAACACCCTTCCTGGAAAATCACAACTCACGTGTTGTACACGCCAATCCTCGTGAATTTCCTCTATGAGCTGCTATTGGGTCGATCCCCTAGTTCGAAATTGAAGATTCAATGAATCTAACCCGAGCCCCTCTTTGATCGGCAGTTGTTCGGTGCCGATCCGTTACAATTATCCCCTCACTTCTAGGCGGGTGTCCCTACTTGCGGATAAATGTAGCTTTAAAAACGTTTCGTCAGACTAACTTTTCTTTGATAGACGGTTAAGGATGCCTATGCGCAATGGGTTTCCGTCCGTGTCGCGCTCCTTTCGCCGCCGCCACCCCCTGGTACCGAGTACGAATCTGAGTGGGATGCGCTTGTTGCTGAGAGTACACAATCTCATCGATTGCGTATTATGGAGGAGTCGGTCCGTTCCTGGTACTCGAGATTAACCTACTATCTCTAAGTAGCTTTTGTACTACTAAAGTAACTAGAAAATAGTATCCACTCTCTTTCTATTGAGTTATCTCTCACTCTCATTTTACATTAATATCACTTTTAAGGACTAGATGTAGTTCTTCTTCTTCTTCTTCTTCTTCCTTCCTTCTTTATCCCCCCCAAGGAGGGGGGGGGGGACTATTACAAATTCTATTAGTTAAAACTCTATAGACAAATAGGCTTTAATTCTTAGCGCTAATCTACGTTGTTTATGATTAAGGGGGTGTATTAAGTTTTATAGATACGTCGCCTTATTGTAAAAGAATGCTTAGTTGTCAGGCCAGCATCTATCAACCCGGAAAGAAACTTGTAAGAGTATATACAGTTTTCAGGTGTAAGGCCTATCAACCAGGTAAGACACACTGTCGAGAGAGGAGAAGTCAATGTATTATCTTATGAGTGCTGAGACCAAGTCTTATTGGAATTAAGAGGGATGTAGGAGGATCC